TCCACGCCGGCAAACAATTCATAAAGGTCTAAATCGTCCATTTTTTGGTTGGATTTTAAATTTAAAATAATAAGTAACCACAAAAATAATGAAAAATCACTTAAACACGTTTAACTGTAAAAATGTAAAAGCAAGTTACGGGTGGGTGTAGGTACAGTGTAAACGGTGTGATTGTTAACGCTGTGCTGTGAGAAAAGTAATTTTAACTCATCGAAATTCAACTTTTTGATGACAAAATTATAACTGGGATTTCTATATTGTAGAAATATTATTTAGGGATGACTTAAACAAGACGATAAGTAAACTATCTGTAGATAAAAACAGTCATAAACACAACCAACGTTTGATTATGAGTAAAAGTTCATAAAATATTATCTATAATTTGTACCACGCGCGTCATGTTACTAATTAGTAATTAGCTTTTAAGTGTTAACTCATAATTATCGATGCAATGAATGATATAGCCTTAAATATATTAAACTATTTACATAATATAATAAACATAAACCATAAATTATGACTATAAGTTATAACCTTGTGTAATGTGTATATTAAAAACATTTTAAATCTTATATTTTTTCTACGCGCGGTCGTCATTCAATGTTTAAACCATAATCTAAACCTTAGAACCGGTTGAATAATATGTATTCGTATATACGGAAACCAATTTTCACATACGGAAACCCATTCGAATCAATCGTGTGAATATTTTTCACATGACATAATTGTATCCGTATACGAAAAAGTGTTCAGAATACGGTTTTTTGGAATCATGTGAAAACTCATGTGGAAACCACGATTTTCGTATACGAATCTTTTTCGTATGAGTTTCTGAATAGCCCCCCAGGTTAGGAACACATAGTAACATTACTTTGGTAACTATTTATTTTCTTAATGTGATTTTTTTTGTTGAATTCTTGATGCTAATTCGTTGATATTTGCCAATTATTTGGTAACTTGCGGCACGGTATTTATCGGGTAATCAGTTTTTTGTATCGGATTTTATTAATTTCTAAAAATAGCGACTCGCACGAATAAGTCGAAGAAAAAATGGAATAAAATTGCTAAATTTTATATTTAAATAATTAAAGTAAGATAATGTTACCGTATTTTATCTACCAACCAATGGGCATTTTGTATACATTTAATTTTCAACATTTTTAATCAAATAAGTTTACTAAAATATCATAACTTGCACCACTAACACTGGTGAATCCACCACAAGTCTAGGCCAATCAATCAACCCAAAAAATGTTGCACGTGCAACTTTCAATCTATTTTGCTGCACCCGTGTGCTATTAGTCTATTATAAATTCATTAATAGCTACAAATTGCTATAATCCATTGAATAGTCGAATCTCAATACCTCGAATTGCTTTCTCATTGAAGTGTTTTTAAGTATATAACCCAAAAAATACACAAGTAAGATTTATTTTTATTCCCTTTTAAATTCGAGTAATTGAGACTAGATTGACTTTCATCTGTTAATCCAGAAAGGCTATATTATATCAAATAATATTGTGTATTTTACTTAAATAATGTTGCTTTGATTTTTATAACTAATGTATTATTCAAAATTGTTTTATTATCCAGAAATTACACTAGTTACCAATTTAGATAGTCTAGTTTGTGACCATTTTTGTTTCTAATCCACGAGCATACATACACTCGCACAAAAATACATTTTTCCACAACACGCAATGCATAATCTTTAGTATTTTACCGGCAATCCGAGAGGCAATTCCTGCTGTTCGAGCTACTGCACCACTACACAGTCAGCTATTTTGTGTCATTGGTGGTGCATATTAAGTAGTCGGTGTCTGAGCGCGAGTACATAGTCGTTGTACGTCCCTGGCCCGTACAAACAAATTGGAATAAAATTATTTAATTTTTTAATTAAAAAAATAATTTATTTGCTTATAATCATTTGCTATTATAATATAGACATATAGTATAAAAATAAATTATAACCAACAATGTTTTACATATTGTTTACAATAAATTGCTGTTGCGCATGTAAAATGGAAAATAACATTCAAATTTTAATATAAAAAAAAAATATATACATATACCTAATAATAACATTATTTGAATAAATTATTACTGAAATAGAAGTTTTTTTAAATTTTTTCCTGAGAATTTCATAACATATATCGTCAACGATTTAATTTTCATCTAGAAATTGAATGACTGTTGAAGTCTTCTTCAGGCCGGCCAGTTAAAAGATCCAGATATTGTGTTCTAAGTTTGGTTTTTTTAATTGAAATATGGGTACACTCGTGTACCCTTAACCTGCGTAGATAGAAGTATTAGAACATATGCATATTTAAATGCTATGAATAATGTGTTGAATACGCCATATTTTAATATTATTACAATGTTCAAAGTTTACAAAATATTTATTAGATTGAACCTGAGTCACGACTCATAAGCAATTTGATTATATAAATTTTTCTATGGGCCCCTAATATTAAAAAATATATATCCAAGGGCCGCCGGCGATTACCGGATAGCCGAGTGAGCCAGATCGACACTGCAGGAGTTGTCTTTGAATATACTTGTTTGAACAGTGTTCTTGCACGTGCGAACGGCAGATATTAACGATGTATCATATATAAAGTACTCTCATAATATTTTTGTTTTTGTGAAAGTCCTTGGTGTGAAGTCCTATTGGGCTATAAGACTCAATTTAAATACATAATACAAAATGTGTGTATAATTTTGTTTGTAATATTGTTTAAGTTAAAAACATGATCATAGTTCGATGGACAATCAAAAATATTATGAAAGTAATTACCTACTTTATTAAATGTGCGCCAGCATGTTGATTGATTTAAAATATGGGTAACACGTTTTACTGGTTATATTTTACTACTTAGGGAAGTGTATACAATTGGGAGCTTAAATCGATGGGAGACCTTAAACGTACTCGTATATTTTCTCTGCCTGTAATGTTTGTGCACGTCGTCGATAGGACAGCTACTTTGAAATAATAATCATAACATATTTTGCACAAATCTATACTTATAAGCTATAGCATGAATTATGAATAGGTAGAATTGTAGTTTGATTATCATGGAATCTAGTCGGCAATAAATGAGTTATGGTTCCAAAACAAATTATAGGTGGTATATACTCTGGTTCATCATTAGTGATATTATATGATATCATGGAGTACGCGTGAAGTCATCTCTTCCCCCAACATAGGATTTTGAAAGGAGCTGGTTAGAATGCAGATGATATTATAAACATTTTAATAATTTGCTATAAAGCAATTCAATGGGTTTGCATTCTCATGTGGAACATTCTTATTTCATTCAATTCTACTGAAAGTAATTAATATAGTAAACCTGAGGTTTACACTTTAAAGGTATATTAATTACAATTGTATTAAAATAAAATTATGATTAGACGTACAAAATGATACGAAGTGGATGTCACACCCACATCTAACCTAACCTGCAGATGATCAAACTATTGAATAAGGATATTATCTAGAGCACTTTATAGGGTTATACTGCTATCTTAATTCTAATTTTAATAATTGAATAATATACAAAGTGATAGAACTCAAAAACTACTCTTTCGAATTTCTATTTAGATAGGTACATACAAATTCTAAAAAAAAAATATCTGTCGAATAATCAAAAATGAAAAAGGAGGGTCCTTATTCGAAAAACAGTAGTTTGTATTGTCACAGGGTCATCTTTGAGTGGAATGAAAAATCTCGTGTATTTGAAAATGTGAACTTCAAGTGTATTTATAAATTCCGAAAATCAAAATTTGAATGTATAAATTGTTTAAGTACAAAAACATGGTGAGCATGCTTCAAAAATTGCTCTGTATATAATACTAGTTGTACCGCCCGAAGATGCAAGAGCCAAAAATTTGTAGTTTTAGAAAAATATTAAAAATATATATATTTGCTGTATTTTTTCTAATAATTATAATAGTATTATGATATGTAACCAATGGAAACAATTTACATCAACAAAAACAAATTTCCTTTTTAATCAATATCAAAAATAAAAATATTTATATATAGCTCAAAACGGGTTAAAATATTTTGAAAATGTTATGATACACATACAATTATAAAATAAACATCTGGTAATGAATTTCAAGTACTTACGGTTATTAGTTATTCAATTAAAATAAAATAAGAAAATCGTTCCATCAGAATTTGTTTATTTACGAGTGAATACCCATATCAAACTTCTAACAGTTCATACAATCATAAAAATTAATTCAACTCTCTAGTAGACTTTTTTTTTTGTTAAACGTGAGAAAACTTATGGGGAATATTTTATTGAATTTCAAATCTTATATATACGTAGAACACATTTTATTAATTTCTAACTAGATAAAAATTTGGAAATTTTCGTGATTTTGATACTTTTTGTTGTAAGTAATTCTAACTTCTCAAAAATATTGTGTATTTACACTCAACTTTTTTAATTTCCTCTAACAAAAACTTATGAGGATTTTGTATTAAATCTCCAAGTTTTGACCGACCAAAACATTTTTATCGTCGGTAATTTAAAAAAAATAAGTAATAAAAATCCAAATTTATAAGTAGTTCAAAAAGGTACAAAATATTATGAAAGTTGTATGGTATGTATAAAATTCTAATCTAAACATTTAGTGAATACTCCATGTATCTACAAACATGTTTTGAGTCACTCATGTTTTTTTTTATCTCTAAAGTACCCACTGTATCAAATCTCAAATCTGATACCAGAAATCAATCTAAATGTTTAATAATGAAGCATTTTTTTGAATCTAAAAAATGTCATTAGACACAAATATTAGGTACACGTCGTATGTACTTACAATATACATAATACAAAATATATAATATTGAATATACAATAAACAATACAAACAGTTTTAAAAAAAAAAACATGTAAATAAAGTAAAAACATATAATTTTTACATTGCTAAACAGTTAAAAGATAAAATACCTAATAACCTGGTAAAAATACAAAATCTTTTGAGAAGTTACATAGTTGCAAATGTAAAGACATAGTTGTACGAAAATATACGCTTGAATACAACATTTTATATGAGTGTTGTATTCATATTATGTATAAGACTATATAGGTATATAAATGTTCACTATAAAAGTGTATGTGTGTGCAGTAAAATCAACTGTCAACAAATTAAGATCATAACTCAATTAATAGTTAAAGCTACACATTTTATAAGATATTTAACAATATTACTAAAATTTGTTATAACGTATAATTTTCTATTACAAAAATTACCTACTTACGTTTAAACATAGTTTAGACATGGTATTAAAATTTTAATATAATGGATATATTATGTTTTTACGACATGGTATAACATTTAAAAAAATTATAACATAATATAACACGATAATATTGATTAAGAAATATATATACGCGTTGAAAATAAATCGCATACTAATAAATTAAACCTAATATTTTTATAACTATATTATTTAGATATGTATTTATGTATGTTGTATGTTATATTTACAACTATTGCAAAATGAAAAACAAACAAACAAATATAAACAAACTCAAGGTAGATTAAATCATTGAACATTCTGATTTTATAACTAATTAAAACAAAAAATTAACTAGCTGATAATTGTATACAATTATAAAATATATTATGACAACCAATATTTAAGTGAAACGGCAACTTTTTGAGAAACAGAATTACGTAAGTTTATTATTCTAAAAATGCTTCATTGTCACAACTAACGGATCATATAAGCGTAGGTACTTAATAATAGTAATAACATAGGGTATATGGAGCTCAATACTGTTGAAACATTCAACAATATAAGAGTAAACAAATTAGGAATTGCATTCAAGGGAATATCTTCCTCGAAAACCACATAAAACAGTTGTACATATTATTATAATTACGAGTACTTTCAATAGGTAAGTGTTGGTAACAAGTCCAATAATAATCAGTCATGTAATCATGTTGTAATCTGCAGGAGTTTCTTTACATGAAACCAGTCAATCTGAGAAGCAGAGAAGCAACTGTCCATGCACAGTACAGCAAGAAAGCGTACACAAATACTTGTAGACCAGTGTGTGCAATGTATAATCTGAAAAAAATAAAACAATTCAATAATGGATGACAAGAATGTAATTGGTTATTGATACATTTTGAATGATATCAATGATTGCAGTATAATGTGTTAGGAAATGTTTTGAATAGAGATTGGATTGTTATCGCAGTCCTTCTTTACAGTATTGTATCGAATACTAACATTTCATATATCACATCCATTAGTCATAAATCATAAAAAAAATGATAGGTATTGTTTTCAATGTTTTATGTTGGTATGAAAATATTTAGAAAGGTATTGCATAAGTAATTTTAGGTATCATAGGCCTTATGATTTTGAAATTCAAAATATACATTTTTTTTTCAAAGTCTATTAACGCATAAACTAATGTCTTAAACTGACGCTTTCCCCGATTGTAATACAATAACTTACTTTTCCCATTTTTTCCTCGCCGCAGGCAATGTATGGATATCATCTTTTACAAGGTAAACTCTTAAGCCGAGACAATGTGCCTGACTAAAGTATTCCCAGGATAACTGATTTATGTCAAAATTGAATATATCTCGATCTTGACTATCGAGAGTATTCCACAACGCCAGCACTCGATCATTAGTGAACGTCCATTCTTTGTCTGAGAAATAGGCTAATATATCACGTACTTTGTCAATCTTCTTGTAAATTTTCATCAATCTGTTTGGAGGAAAAAACAACTGTTATTAATTGTTGTGATACGCCTATTATACTTGTGTAAAAGATCTTATGTTTTACACATAAAATGCATAATAATGAAAAAAAATTTTTATATTTTTATAATTTTATATTCCTCAAAATTATATTGACCATCTATTATATAAAAGAACAATAAGCTAATTAGATGAAAGTAACAAATATAAAATACGACATGAAATTACCGAGTGAAGGGGATTCCCAGTGAAGGTACTTAGTGGTGGAATATTAGTTATAATATAATAGGTAATGATTAAGCAGCTAATAGTGATCTACATTTTTTTTAAAATAAATATGTAGGTCACGGTACCATTATCTTTTTAGCCTAGACCAAATAATAGAACATATTTTACTTTTACTATACATTAAGTACTTGCATTGGTTTTTGTCCAGCGATAACAGCTAATGTGTCCAGTAAATATCCGGGTACGATATGGCAAACAAAGTTTAATAATGCATACAAATATGGATTGTTGGTGGGCCAGAACGAGTAGTACCAGATTGCTCGGATTGTGGGCCAGTAAATTCCATGACGTCTATTCATCTCGATGAAATCATTCCACTTAATTGGTTTTTGCCCTGCACTTGAGCACGTGAATATCGGTATTCCGTCGTCTTTTCTGTAAATTAAATATAAAATTAATAGAATTACATGTTTTCGAAAGTTTGTAGCAGACTAACATGTACAGCACAAAAACTAAAATCATACGAAATTAGCAAAATTAATTTAGTTAAAACGAATTATATTTAATTGCTCTTATTTGTTTTCCCATAACCTTTTATGAAATTTAAAAAAAGAAAGTACCCAATAAATAAATTACATAATAAAAGTAACAGTATTAAATACTAAATGCCAATATATGCAACTTTTTAAACACTCCTTCTGAATATATATATTATATATTTACATTAAAAATTAAAAATTTTAAAACAGTTTGGTACACCAATGCATTCCTTGTTAGGGAGTTAGAATGTAACTGAGTGTGTGTTATTAAAATAACATTTTAAATGAATTTACTTATTAGTTGCAGTTTCTTTTGTTGAACATATAAGTGCGTTAACAACCATGTCTACTGGAATCATATCAGTAACCATATTTGAATCACCAAAGTATGTATGAAGAACTCCTGTTCCAGCTCCAACTATGAGTCCTGTAGGACCATAAACATTATCTATCCACCCCCTCACTGGTTCTCGGTAAGTTGCAATCACTGAAAAATTAATATAATAATACAAATAGGTACAACGTCTATACTATTTCGTATAACAAATTAAAAACATTTAAGCATGTCATTTTATGAACCATATACTTATATTTCAACTTATAAAATATTATAATAAGGGTACACAACTATTATAAATGTATTGATCGAGTGTACATACCAACAGTGGGACGGAAAACTAATATTGGAAGATCTTGCGCTTCTCTTCGGATGACGTCTTCTGCCAAAGATTTGGTAAATGCATAAGTATTTGGTAAATCGCCAATGATTCTTAAAATTATTGCTTTTATTAAAAATATACCCATATGAAAAAAAAAAATGAATAACCTTACTCTTTAGTCATGTCTTGAAGCGTTTGATCGTCTTTAGAAGAAATCAATTTTAATACATCTTCATAGTCAGCAATAGGGTCGTAAAATTTTTCCTCGACGTGCAATCGATTACAGTTTGAGTATGCTGTGGAAACGTGTGCCATGACCTATTATGGAATAAGAATTTTAATGAAAGTTATATCATTTTCAACAAGGGAAACTCAACATCTTCCGTTTTATTAGTTTATTATTGATTGTTCATAACACAATAGTGTTTTATGAGTGATTATTTTTCACTTTCATATACCTAGTCGAAAGACATTATCTAGCCACAAATTACTACGGCTTACAACTTTTATTACTTCTTGACCTACTATATCTGAGTTGCATAAATTATGACGAAATGTTTATGGTGTCTTGATACAAACAATAATTGTATTTTTAATTTAAAAAACCAAAGACTTTAAACAATAAAGACTAAGTTTTTAGGTTAGTACTAAATTATTAGATAAAATAATTTTAAGTCATAATAAAATACTTTACCTACCTTTAAATCAATTTCAAAGATAGATTTACACCAAAATATAATTATGTGTTTATGAAGTAAGTAAATTTTAAAAAGCATATTATTATTCCATAATCCACAATATAACTGAAGCAACACTTTTAGTTTTGGGGAACGTTTTTTTACAGAAAAAATTTCAATATACAATAAATAATTCTTTTTCAAAATTTAAATTCTAAATGTTGTGAAAATCTGTAAAATATACGTACAGAAATACAGTATACTGTACAAACATATGTAAGTTTAATGTTTAAATAATGTTTAAGCTCGTGTTTTGAACAGATCCATAACTACATACCTATAAGCTATATAAATTTAAAAACGCTTTTACCTTTAAGTTGGTTATTTTCCTGGCCAAACTTAGTAATTCTCTTGTTCCAGAAACATTTATGGTCATAGCTACACGGATATGTTCATCAAAACGCACAGTAGCTGCTCCATGGAAAATTATGTTCACTTCATTCATCAATGTATTTCGACTACTTACGCTTAATCCTAGACCCGGCAAACTGCAGTCACCGGCTACTCCAGAAACCTTATGGTAATACTTGGGTACCTCATGTTTTAATCTTTTAAAAAGCTGAAACATAATAAGCATTACATATTATAGAAGCCGGTAATAATTATTGCAATTATGTATTTTATTGTGAATATTAGTTATGGATATCTTGTTAAACTAGATTGTTCGATAAATAAGTCTTTTTGATTTCTATAGATTCTATAGATATTATTACTTTATTGTTCTTTTGAATATTATAACATATTTTTTTATCATTAATACTATTATTACTAATATGTCTGTGTAGTCCAGTGATTTCACCAAAACATTGTAAACAAAATTAGAAAGTAACCTAAACACCAATAAGTACCTAAGTATAATACCTATGCCAGGGATGGCGAACCTTTTCATAACAGCGTGTCAAATAAAAATGTTGGTAGGATTTTGTTTTTCCTGCGTGTCAACTAATTCGATAACCCTTCAATTTTTTTTTCAAAAACTTTAATATTATCAAACATACATATTCGTGTGTGTCACTAAAATAGTGTGAGCGTGTCACTCTGTGACACGTGTGTCATAGGTTCGCCATCTCCGACCTATGCATATTATTTCATTGGGTATTTAAAAAATATAATACTAGAAACCCGGAGAGTTCTCTAAATATTTTTATCGAGCAAATTATACCATAAATTAAACAACATTGATTATTTTTAGGTGGGATAAAGAATTTTTATTATTCTATATTTTCTTTCAATTTAGTCACAATACAATTTAAAATTTATATTACTGGGTCCTAAAAATGTAATAAGTATTAGGTAAATTTATAACGTCCAAGCTATACCAAATATCTTAAAACTACTTCATATAAATTGTCTAATACCTATTATCATTGAATAATAAGGCTTTTACTTATTACAGACTTTGCAAATCAGACATTTATCTGCGTATACCTAAGTACAATTATTTAAATATCAATAGGTTCTAATAATTAACATATTGGAGTCATTGTTTGAAATAGTTGGTTTAAATATTTGGTCTGTTTATTAGTATTATCGGTACTATTATGTGAATGTAAATTGTAAATTATTTTGATTCTTAATTATTCACTTTAATTTGCTTCCCATTAGCATTTGTGTGCCATTTAATCCGCTCCAGTATAAATCTTATGATATATAATATTATGTAACTTCATATTATTTAATATTACTTAATATTACTTAATATTACTTAATAATATTTAAATTTGTTTTCATTATTTATAAATTACTTTCAGTTACGTAGAATATTATGATAAAATAATGAAAATTCACGTTCTACCTACCACAGTAATCAATATTTACGCAGCATAAACATCTTGTAAATGTGAATGTTATGTGGGCCTAAAATATAATACAATCAACCACATTACATTTTTAATGAAATTCTTACCAACTCAGATGATACAATCGTTAATTACCAATTTTAATACAATATGAAAATGTATAATTTATTGAACTAACCCAATAAAATCAACTGTACTTCACTACATCTTGTTAGGTTATTTCAAAATTTAAATGTATCAACCATGTGCATTGAACTAAATGAAAAGAAAAGTAAACCCTAATTAGATGTCTTATGCCTTAGTCACATATCGTATTAATGTTTACAATTAACGATGTTATTTGGCCACGAAAGTAGCGATAATACAAATGGTCATTAAAATTAGAACAATTATTATAATACGCTCATTAATTATTGTATTTGTAGCATTGGACTACTGCATACATTTGCGCTTAAATTATGATAATTAAAAAAAAATCGATCGAAATATTTTAGCAACGTAGATGTAGGTATAAGTGAATTATGTATGAGTCTGAATTTGAATAAAAAGTCTAATTTGCAAAAAGGTTAAAATGAAATTAATTTTTCTGAACTAGCAACTACTACTTACGTCTTATAACGTAGCACGCCATTCACAATTTTCTAATGAAATTTAGATGTTTCGTTAGGCATTTTCATTTTAACCAAACACATTTCCAGATTACTGGACAATATATTTTATAAAAACGTACAGTTTAAATTATAAATTGAAATTGTTACCAATAATATTCCTGAAAATTAAATTCTGTGCAAAACAGGATCCGCCCTGTTTAAAACCCTATGATGTCATACAATCATAATAATACGCTTGATATTATATTTGTATTATATCATAATATCGTCGATAAGGTAGCGCCCATCAGTATCTAATAAACATACCTATGCAATCTCCCCGAAGGGTATTTATGTTACTTAATATTATCTAATTGACGATTTAAATTTTAATTATTTTAATAGTTAGCCTAAATGTATTTGGGTGAAGTTTTTGTATCATAGTATTTTTAGTGTTAATGCCCACGGTTCAATAATACCATGTATGTAACAAGAATAGTTTAAATTCAAAGTTAATTAAAAATTTGAATGTTCAGCATTTTGAAAACTTATCATTTCATAATTTATTTACAAATCAATTTAATTGATCTCTGATTTTTAATTGACAGGTGTTCAGCACTAATTTATTGTTATGAAATAAAATACAGATGATCTAGATTTACCATGGTGAAAATTATGGAATATCTGTCTGGACTAATAAAGAAAAATGTAATTTTTCTATTTTAATATGCATTATACATATTGTTTTTATGGACAGTAGAAAATATATTTTTGTTTATAACCTTGTATGAATTCAAACTTTTTTTTAGCTTTATATCTTATCATTATACGAGTCTACGAGTGATTGTCTAGTAGGTATCTGGACATAATACACGTTACATGATTTGCGATGCATTCCATACACAAAAGATAAACCATAACACTAAAATAAGTTTCCAGTCTAATTCCGAGCTTTATCATAAACTATTGTAATTTATTTTTATAACTAAATTGAAATTAAGAATATTTTGAATTATTTTGAATACTCACTGTACAAATAAATCTGTATTCTTGCCTATATGAGAAATAAATACGTTATAAACCCTAAAAATACATTGTGCTTGTAAAAACGTTGAAAAATGAAGAATAAGCAAAAAAATATATTTATATATATAAATGCATTTATCATGGCAAAACTTAAGAGGCTAAACGAGAAAAGGGCTGTAAAACGTATGTATTGTTTCTCTCATCGAGTCAAAAGATAATGGTGATAATAAGTATAAACTCATTATAGATACCTACCTAAATTTAAAAGCAATGGCAAATCATCGAATTTGAAAATCTTTTTTGAACAATGCTCTGTTTTTTAAAGGTCAAAAATTCCTTGATGGCTTTTTTTGTGTATACCTTACATTAATTATACCTACCTACTGAAAAATCAAAAATCATCTAACTAAACCTAACATACAGCCTTGGTTGATTATTATTGAACACTTTTGGAAGTCCTGCCGTTAGAAGTCAATGAAATCTAAAAGAAGCCGGATTCAAGTTATTGTTTTACATTTTAATGTGACATCAATTTCAAAAATGTTAAATATAGATTTTTGTACTAATATAGTAATATGTGTGAACATACATTCATCGTATTTTTAGCAATCGAAAATTGCCACCATGGGTTATAACAAATAATTTTTTTTTTTTTTTTTGATTTAAGCTTCGGCAACTGAGGCCATTAGCTGTAGGTTGTGTGGTACTGTAGAGTTTTGGGACTGTAGGGGGGGGGNGGGGGGGGGAACACGTGTGTGTTTTTGTTTTGGCAGAATTTCTATTGGGCACCCGTAGGTTTCTGCCATGCCCGGTTGGGGGATGGCGGCACTTGTTCTCCGGTCACCGCGACTTGTCCAGAGAAAAATGCCGCCCGGTGGCCGAGGATCGAACCGCGATCGGCTGCGTCGCAGCGGACGCGTCAGACCACTCGGTCACCTCGTCCCTCAGGTTGTCTAATAATAATAAAAAAAACAATGTTTAAAGGTTTATGATTAATCTATTTTATTTTTCTCGATATTGAGATCGAATTTAATTCAAATATGGTAAATGCTAAGACAATTATATAATAGTTACCAAAAATGGTTCTTGAAATTCATAGCCAATGAAAAATAACTATACATTCAAATAAATATATTTGTGAATTATGTGAAATTGCTATTAATACTTCCTAATAAGATATAAATTATAAATCGAAGGAGGGCATACAATAATCAGACGATTTTATTTTTCAAGACTTTTCAGACGAAAAAAAAAAATTTTAATTTATGAAGCTATCTTATACTTGGTCCAGAACTTAGTACTCATTAATTGCGTCTATTACAATATTCTCTTGGAGCTATCTGGTTTTTACCGGAAAATTAAAACCTGGCAGGTACAAGTATGTTATATTTCCTGTACTGTCCTGTAACAGGTGGTTGGCTCTGTCATGTTCACGCAACGATAAACTCGTAATTATTTTTTCCTTTTTTAATATTATGTAAACCGGATTTTCGATGAAAATGGATTAGTCTTATTTTTTCACGGACCCTTTCAAGTATTATAATATAATAAATTACACAAAACATTCAATATAGAGTATGTAAGTAATATGTATAAGTAATAAATAGGTAGTATAACCATTAACCTGTGAATCAATGTTTTTAACATATTTTACGTGGGTAATAATTATAATATTATAATACAGTGATCGACGTGAGTTGTTTTTTTCAGATTATATTTTTTAGGATACTAATAAACTTCATCAGATGAGTCGTGCAGTGGCTCAGTTATATTAATATACATACACGGGTTCTATGAATATTTTACACTGACAATTTTAATATTTTTCAGTATTTTTTCACTGTTTAAAATATATATTTCATATTATAGGTCAGGGTGGTCCAACCCAAGGTACTCAAATTCATTTTTTGGCCCACCTTAAAATATATACTATGAATTAAATGTATTTAACAGTTTTAAAAACAACAATAAGGTGGTGGGAGACGATGGCAGTCGATCAATTCACCTACTAATAATAATAATAATAACAATGACAAGTATTGTGATAACTTGTGTATTGAATAACATTATGTTTGCTATAAAATAAAAAATAAATAAAACCATTTTTTATCACCCCCCCCCCCTCCTTCTATTATTTACATAACAGGATAAATTGACCTGCCATATATAAAAGTTTGGACCCCCTATAATACTGCAGGTAATTATTAATCAATAAATAAGAATTAGATATCGTAGCAGTACATATTATTTAAAAAAAATTGATTTCGTACAATACTGTTTTAAAGTCTACTGCAACTGACCTAAAATTAGATTTTATAAAATAGAAAGTGTATTTAAGTGTAAACACTTCCACCAAACACTAAAGAAATTCAAGGACGTCGAGAGAGCGCCTCTCGCAAATATTGTGATGTAACTCAATAAACTCGATCAGACAACTTATGGCGTGCACGCACACTTTGTGTTATGAAATGTTGATTAATCTCAATGTTAACTATACCGGTTATAACTGATATTTTAAATGAGTAAATGACAATATTAACAGAATTTGAAATGAAAATTTTCTCTAAAATTTCGTACATAAAAAAGTCAAGCTAGTAAGCACTTGTTTAATGCAAAAACGGGATGTTTGTTTATACACACTACTATGAATAGTATTGGTTCTTACTGACTTAACACACATCATTCACTAATTATAAATATACTGTTCACATGTATGCGTTACTGCATTACGAATTAACATACAATATTTTTTTGTTAAGTATACGTCTGTAAATGGCATATGTTATTATACTTGCACACAAGTGTTTACAACTACTCAATATGGAATTTATTTTTAAAACCAAGCCACAAAAAAATATAAATTTTATGGTATTGTTAAAAAAAAAAAAATTAGATTGCTGAGATAATATTACATTGTACAGAGAAAACTCAAACCATAGATATTATTTTATTAAGTTAAATTAAAAATATAATATTAAATGATGCACAGTTTGTTATTAATATTATTATCTCATAATATTAATATGGTTTGGATATTGAAATTCAATAAAATTAGTTTCACAAAATAGTATTCTAAATATTATTTTGAGTATCATATAAATTATATCGTTATTTTTATTGTTATTTCGCCCTAGTCCAATAGGCAATGCGAGAATGGACTACAGTTAGATACACTATGCATAACATATTTGTTTCCCCCAATCTAAGAAGCAAGAAATCGTAAAAATTTTAACATCTTGAATTCAAATACGCAGTAGTTGAAGAAGAGCTAAATATTTCATTACGATGCAATTTAACTAATCAAGTTAAAAAAACGTTGGTGCAAAGTTAAATTATAAAAGAGTTTATATTTACCCTGTCTTCAAATATATCTTCCAATCGTTCATCGACGTTTTTGCCCTTTTTCGATCGGATCAGTAAATAAATGTGTTTAATGTGAGGACATGTTCTGAGCAGTTTTTCCACTAGAACCTTGCCCATAAAACCTGTACCACCGGTTAAAAATATTACTCCATCCCGGAAAAACTCTTGTACTGGACTTCCGATTTCAGACTCATCAACTTCGCGAGGTTCGTGAAAGCTCCGCTCACCCAAAAGCTCCAGGGGATCCAAATAATATTTAGAATTTATTATATCTTTGATAGGCACCAACGGTGCACTATCTTGCTTTTTCTCGATGTACTTCCGATGTAAATCGAGAGCCATATTGTGGAATTGTAGATTTAATAACTGTAAAAAAAAAAAAGAGTATGAATAGTATTTAATTATTAATATTAACTTATTACTAACAGTAAAACATAACTTTAAATAATATTTAAATTTCTAAACATTTTAATTTTAATTTCTATTTTTGTGACCCAACGCCTAAATTTAACTATTGCAATTTATTAGCTAGAACTGTATAAGTATTACAAATATAAGATCAAGTCTCAGGGGGAGGAAAAATTTGACTTCCATGTTTTTCCACGAATAATATACGTAAACACACAAATTAAAATTAATTCTAGGGGAAAAAAGAAAATTTGAGCATTGGAACTATCAAGACTCGGCTGTAAATTGAATATAGGTACTATCATGCATTACCCAATTGTAACTCAGAAATTTCAAATCAATATGTCATATTATTAACAATACGTCCTTTTGTCCGAATTATTATGATGAATAATGAATGCCCATCCTAATTCTAAATTGTAATAGAAACAAATTCCGTAAATAAAAGATTATTATTTTAATATAATTTTTTTTTTATTATTTTCAATGACATCGACTACTAGGCCATTAGTTCTAATTTACATTGTAATTACATTTTAATATAATATAGGTATTATGTTATATTGGCTAAATATGTTAGTGCATAAATATTAAATATATTAGTTTAATTTTGGAAAGTTATAAGTAAGTATAGTTTACTATTACAGTGATCTAAATAATATTATTACATTACACGAACGAAATATAATATCTACGAATGAAATATAATATAGATACATTGATTATAATATTTCAAAAAATGATGAAAACTGCATTGGGCTTAACTCGTACACGTGATAGCTAATAATATGATTGGAATTTTTAAACCTAACTCAATGTGTTTTCTCACATGGTTACCTTGACCTGAAGACGCCTAAAATGTCCATTCAACAATAATTAATGTACGTAGGTCGGTTGTATTACATTATACGACAAAGTCAATATCAAGTCCCAAATGTAACTCGTTTTTATTGGATTTCTAGCCCAACCTATATAGTTTATTAAATACTACGCATTGCGTAATTAATATTCACAGTAGTCCAACACATTTGATTAGAAATACTATGTGCGTACAGTTTTAAACAATCCTGACCTACCTAGGTACCTAATAATCACATCTTGGGTTTTAAAATTAAAATATTTAAGCAAACATTTAACATAATAATAATTTTTAACACATACATCATTGTATGACCATATTACGTGTATAATAATTTTGTATATAATAATATTCAAATATACATGGGTACTAGCAGTTCGCATAAAAAGAGGCGAACCGTTTGGACACTGCGACGAACCGTCCTAGCAACTTCAACTGTTGCTTTCACATGTAACAACTTACTATGGGACTGTGGCATCGTCTTAATGTAGTATACTTTTTAAATTCTTATAATATTTTTATTTTATTTCATTTTATTTACATTTGCATTTAATAACGTACCGCAAAATAATGTATTGGAATTATGTATGTCACTGTGTTTAAAATAAAACTGAAAGTATCTTTTTATCGATTATCTAATGGTAACGAAACAAGAATAATATAATACATCATAGTATTAACAAGCCATAAAATGTTGACCAATTTACATTTTAAAAATTCGCAATAGTACAGGAGAAATGACTCATAAATCTTATCTTAAACGAAGTTCGATATAATTTATAATTTTAATGCAGAAAATAAAACCGGAAAATAATTTTGCAAAATATAATCGTACTAATTAATTTAAATAACGGTCGTTCAGAATTTTAAATAAAGTTGTAGTAAAATATATGTAAATTAATTAATAAAACATTCGATGCCCAATTACATTACATAGGGTTATCACTTATCAGATTTAAGTTGTTGAGTAATGCCGTTATCATAATCGTGGAGGTACGTTTTATCCCTCTAAAGATCAGAAATTGTTTATTTATGCTACCTATCAAAATATATCATATATTATGTAGTGTTAAAATATAACTGTGATTTATCACTTCTATTTATATCATACTAAGCGGCTTTGAACTTAATTAAAGATCAGTTTTGTTACTTATTATAAATCTCTAAAAACACATATATACCTATATAATGAATTCAATTTAGCGTGTACAGTATCATTGTGTGTTTATGTGTTGTTAGTGAATGTTTAAGACATATCAAACAAGTTGTAGATAATAATTAGTATGAATATTGTCGTATACAAATAGTATTAATCATAATGTAGTCATATTCTAATAATCGAATTCTTAAATGATTTTTAATTTTAAAATTCAGCTAAGTTGTTGGACAAAAATTGAAACAGGTATTTTAAAAACGATATAATATATTTACCATTATATTAATTGTTTATTTGAAGTATAGTAGTATGAGATAAGTCTTAAGTCTTTTGACATACCTCATTGAAAACGTTTTTAAAAACATTGAGAAATAAATTACTTTTTTATTATTATTACTTTATACATTCGACATATCATAAATTATTGGCTTATTTCAATGTATTTTTGATAGTTAAAATGTAAAACAACACATTATGGTTTAAAATAGTATGTATTTGCGATGTATCAATTACAAACAATTTCATTTTTATTTTTTTTTAAACGAGTGTTTGTTATTTTCTTATTTAATAAATATAGAGAAGTTTTAATAAAAAACAATTATGTTCTTACCTCTTTTAAAACGACGGTCGACGATGAACACAGGCACTCTGCAGATAGAAACTACTTGAACGAAGTACCGCGACGGAATGGCCGTGAGTCCGAACCCAAATCTCTGACACACTAACTGGGTTGAGGAATTACTGGTGTTGTCATATATATACACTTCAAGGCCTCGTACCCATAGCACTGTACGTACACAAGACGCACACCTATCCTTCTCTCTTGGTCGTATGTATTTGCGTCTTGCGTCAAACAAAATCAAATGAGTAAGTTATTAGATTATAATCAATAACGTCGAATTAGATGTTACTTTTAAATTTATTTTCTACACAAAATATTAAATAATTTTAAAAAAATACAATTTTGACTAGGTACCTATAATTCATTAGTTGAGTGTGATATATATAATATCTTAAGCTCTTAATTCATAAGGAATATTATATGATATTAATATATTACCTATTTTACAACACAGGACAAAGTTTCTTATAAATTGTTAAACATCAGTTCAAAATATTAAGGATTCATAATCATGATTTTTTTTTTAAAAAAACATTTTAATAACAAGTTCAATTTTTTTATTTAATTCAACAAAATCACAACAATTTATTTTGAACATGCTTAGTTAAGCATTTAATACAAAGTTTCTCATAAGTATCTCATACTGTAACAAAAAAATCTAAAAAATGTATGATTCTAGTTTCATTGTATAGACATTTTAATTTAAAATTTGGACGAAATCATATATTTTAACAGAGAATAATAATTTCAATTATTTTTTTTGTATTTAATTTTAAAAATATCATTCGTGGGTATATGAACGTTTTAAAGTACTATTATATGATATACATAAAATATCGTTTTCAAATTCAATGTTTTGAAAACATTAATTGAACCTACTGATACCTATACTAATGTATATTATTAAAATAAATTATTTGAATGACAATAATATCATATAATAGACTTAGTAATATAAAAGCCTCACTCATAATCATTTTTTTGTAAAAGATGATTTCATATCACTGAATTCAAATTTAACACATACATTACAGTGGCCCACACAAGGCCTAAATATACAGCAGAGCGGGACCCACTTGCCCACCTATTTTTAGGTTTTTGTTTTTTGACATTATTTTATTTTTGCTCAATATTTTAGATTCTGAACAAAGCAAACGAATGTTAAATTAAACTATAAATTACTAGATACCAGCAGAGCTACTACGTTTTTTTTTATAACTAGTGTTCCATAGTGGCTTAAGTAAAAATTATTTTTAAAACAGAAATGACACTGGTTAACTTAAGATAGTTTAATTAAATAAAAATTAAAGATGATTAACATTTATTTGTGAATTTTTTGGAATCTAGGCTCTAGATATTGAATGAAATTGATTGGATTACATCTGTAGGAGTTAGTACGGATAGTGCACCAACAATGTCAGGAAAATGTACTAGATTATTTGCAAGGATTTGTCAAACTGAACCATCAGTCACATGGCATGATTGGCCATAATTGTTTTCAAAATCAAACCAAAATGTTGAATACAATTTTGGATATAGGAAAGTAAAATTGTGAACTTTAAAAAATCAAAATTATTGAATTTGAACGACTTTCCAAAGACACGGAAAGAAACATCATCAACTTCTATTGCACTCTGAAATCCTGTGATGAGATAAGATTATTTTACAATGTTTACAATATAAATCATTTACATTGAATTAAATGATTTTTCTTGGTTAGCTAATTTCGCATATACCTCTCAGAGTAAATCAAGAGGCACAATGACACATGTTAACACTTTCAAAGTTGAAGATAAGATTGAAGGGACGATGAAAAAGTAGGAACTGTGAAGCTCCGCCTGTCAAAAAAGAACTACCTATGAAGGCATGAGGCATTGTTTCCAAACCGCAAAAATTTTCGTTAATCAACCGAAGAAGAATAAATTGTCTGACGAAGATACCCAATATTTTAAGAAACATATTTAAGATATTATTCAATGTAGATTCCGTTATTAATTTTCCTGTTCCAGATTATTTATTCGAAAAAGCTTTCTCCGCCCTTGTTTATATTAAGAATAGGTACATTGCATAGAAAACATCGAGTCCGAACTACGGTTACATTTTTAAGGTATTGCCCAATGTTCAAAAACTGAAACATGCAACATCATCTTTTGCATTAAGCAAATGAAAATTACTTTTTTTTTTTTAGATTATTACAGCTCGACAATTAAAGTTGAATTTTAAGAGTATTAAAAATTAAATATGAAATTTGTATGAAAAATGATATGTAATAAAGATAAATATAAATGCTAATGTTATTATGTACCTACTTATGTGTTTTGAAGTATGAAATAATTATTTAAATAATTATTATGATAGCATGAGATATTTTGTAAAAAGATATTCTAAATAAAACTTGTAGTGTGTCTACGATTTTTAAATTCTTTCATCGGGGATCCGTGTTCACCAAAAGTTTAAGAACCGCTGCTCTAGAATTAAATATTGGATATGGAACTTATTAGCAGTTCTTGAATTTCAAGGGGCACAGAGAGGCGAAGTCCCCTTCTTCTTAAAATATATTCATGCGTACCCCCTCTAATTATATCTTAGTCAATAAGACATTTAAATATTCAGGCACGAACTTTTTTCATTACAATTGTGTATCCCCTTCCTTTTTTTCACCTTTCAACAGCTTGTTATTAGGAATAAATCATCACTATACTTCACAAAATTAACAATAATTTAAATAAAAATTATAATTCTTGGCTCCTGAGTGGAACTTTTGGAGAATATTAACGAGTTATGACAACTCAATAACGACAACAACTAGTTCATACTGCAATAATAAAAGACAAAAGTCAAATCAAAACAAGAATATATATACACGTATATTAACCAATATTTATCATTTCCTGTAAATTAAATTAAGATTAGTTACCTATAAGAATTATATTTAACATTAATTTTCATATTATTACATGGTGTAACAATTGGTTACATCCTATACATATAAATTATACACAAAAGACACATACTATAGAATTGCCCAATGTACAATACAAAATATACACACTCAACACTTCTCTACCTGTACACATTATTATAGTAATTATTAAAATGACACACGACGGCAGTTCGGAAACATTCATCAACAGGAACGAACTCACCTACCAACAGCCATCTGAAATCTACATGTTTAGTAAAGTATTATTTTAATATTGTAATTAATAAAGAACTTTAAACCAAACGTCTCTAATAATTGTTATTGATAAAATAATACCTCATACACAGCTCTAACCCCCAGCTACGGAAAACTTATCCATAAGGAATAGAAAACCTTTCTCTGGATAACTATTATTGTTATAAGGTTCCCCTGACCACGTTACAATGGATTTTAAAAATTGAGGTAGTTTATTTTTCTAAAGTTGAAAAATAAACATAATGATAATTTCATGTCATATTGTAATATATTTATTATTATTATCATAGTGGAAAACTGATCAGCTTAATAACCTTGTTTTAAACATTCCGTATATTTTTAGCCATTTCAACATTTCAAGGAAATAATTATAATAAGCATAGAAATTTAAATTTAAAAATGTGGTAGTTTAATAAATTCAATGATATTACTATTGTAATAATATGAACGTATAATATCCCCACCGTTTTTTAAATTTAAAATTTGTACGCCGAATACACAACGAAAGGAGTGTCCAGGATAAAAACTCATGGCAGACCCGGTTATAAGAAAAACTCGTACAATACCCCCTCTTTTTAGGGAATTTTTAATCTATTTTTTTATTGACATTTGTAATATGGTTGTCATTGCATGTTTTTCCTAGAAGCGCTTGTGAATAGCCGATTAGTTGTACGTTTATTAATTATTTATAGATAGATACATTGATACACTGCACATGATACACGACACAAAATATGATCGTTATACGGTCACACGAGTAGGTATACACGCAATATTCACATTTCGCATTCAGATTTCAACGTTCGATGTGTTAATACAAAAAATAAGTAAACAGTTATTTTTGTTTTTAATTCAACACTAAATCAGGTTGAACTCGAATCTATTTGCAGACCTGCCCGCTGGATACGCTTCTGTACACTATACGTTATAATTAGAGAGCGAAATTGTATGCAGTTTCATATTTTTTATTTTAACGTTTTTGGGATTTTCATCAGTAATCTTTACGAATTGTAATGGTTTGAAGATAATGGCATGTTTTTTTTGCATATTGCTGCATATTTAATGTATGTATTGCATATTTCTGCATGTGTTGGCAAAATTAAAAATATATTGCATATTGAAGCAGAAATTTAAAAAAAATGTATTTGTATTTATTGATTAGATTCCTAGGTATAATTGTAATTATAAATTATCTAATTTATTTTTAATTATTTTTGAGTCATACATTGATAAGTTATTCAATTGTGAATTTTTTTATCAAACTACACAGTTTAAAGTCATTTTCTTGCATATTTGTTGCATATTTTCACAATTTTGACTGCATATTATATGGCATATTCTGACACTTTTTAGTGCATAAAAATCCGCGGCCTAGTTATAATATATCTATCATAAATGATTAAGCAATGCAAAATGCTTTAATTGTATATGTATACATACCTAACAAGTAACAATACATATTGATTCGTAATATGCACTCGACTCGTTTCGCTCATATTATTAGCACAGGATGTTGGTGTATACTCATTATAAGTTCAAAAACAAAATCATTGCATTTGTACATCGTTATGGGTATTTTAATTTCAAATTTGGACGAAATTTGATACTTAAACATTTTAAACGAAGAATAAAGATTTTAGTTGCCTTGTTTCAATTTAAAAATATTATTCTTGAGTAGTTGAGTACTTGAAACTTTTAAAGTATATTGTTGTATTTTATACGCACAATGATGGTTCATTATTTCTGAAACAAATCTTTCAACCTACTGTATAACTAGGATAACATCCTGTAGAGCACGCCACTGGATAGGAAAAACTTACTAGAGTCGTTATTCGTAATCTGCACTTATCTGCGCATACAGATGGAATTGTGACTTTTCGAAGTTAGGCAGATCTGGCAATTGAGGCATTACTACCCCTATTCTTTGTTGACCCAGAACCCATTGACCATTTCAACGATATTTTCAAACTTACAAAAGCTTATTGTGGATACCTTTAACGTTGTGTTCGTTGTAGTTACTCCCCAGTTCCCACCTATTATTTTAATGAACCAAACCAAGAGAGTCGACAACTAAATGTGTGTTATGTTCCGCCGACGATCCAGCCAACGAATCCCAAAGAGACTTAAAAAATAAACAATAATAAACTTGATCGAGCGTTTGAACTAAATACTTTTTCACATCAGTGGTAAAAAAATGTAAAAATAAATTACACTTAAAATGTTGAGCCATTATATTATACATAGGTACTCGTTTATTTATATAAAATTAAAATTAAAATTAAATTATTTGTAAAATTGTTTCTTTAAAATAAATTATAGCTATTTTGTTGTGTATTAAAAATAATTAACTCTCCGAAAAACTTTACATTTTTGACAAGGTCGCGAGCGAGGATGGTCAAGAATGACCAGTTTATGACCACCCCTTCTCACCGGTCGTGACCGATTACAAGCATGTTATTACAATTAACAATTATAGCTGTTAAAACCCTTATTGTATGTCATTTATCTAAATCTTACTTAATCGTAATTTCCGAACTTATTTACCTACTTAAGTTTTGAATATTTATTTTATACAAATAAAATGTATTCTTTTACATGAAAAAAAGTGTAATATAATTATTATGAACTATATTATGATCATCAGAACCATGAATAGCACAATATCTTGCATTCTTTCTCTAATATGATTATTAGTTACGAAATACTATACTACCACTATTATTGAGAGAAAAATATTCCTAAATAGTAAATGAGAATTTAGTATTTGATGTTATTTTAGTTAAATTTTTAAAAGTTTTAACAGTCTAAAAATGAAATAGTAATTAATTTTAAATAACAATTAGACCCTGTTACAACTATGTAGGTAGGTATATACTAACGTAGGCACTAATAATATATAATCAAAAATTTGTATTGCCCCTGCCTTGAAAAATTTTTGAGGATGTCCTTGAGTAAGTACCAATTACTATATTTTATATTATGTGACGTTGTGTGAGTGTGTGCGTTAAATATATTCTCTATAAAAACTTATACTCGACGCCGGATATATGTAAAGTATATTTAACTCATCTGTGAACAGCTCAACCCAAAAAATATATTTTGACAATATATGTGTGTTTGTATACCTTTAATTTTTTATAAACAGTATAGGTCTATGATCTAAATTTAATAAGGTAATATTATTTATTTATTATATTATCCTATTCTTATATAATAAATCACATTGAATGTAATAGGTATATTATTTCCTTCCTACTTAGAAATCTGTAGTAGATTCAACACCAAGTGGATTTAGAATTTAATAGTAATTGATGAATTTTTCGACATCATATTTTTTATTTTATTTTCTCGACATTTTAAATATTACTCAAGTTAAAAATATAAATACCTACTATTAAATAACTACGTTACACCAAATTTTTTATTACGTAAATGATAAATGCATAGACGCACACGTCATAACTTCAAGATACATAGTCACTTGTAATTTGATGTTATTACATAATATTATCAGTTAACATTTTTCTAATAGGTAAAGTGTACTTACGAAAGTGATATTTTTTTAAGTGTCAGAGATCTAAATAGTGAACACAACATAATTATGAAGAATTGAGTGGGATTTCTCAAAGGTAAAGCTCCCAGCTTAAACTTGTTAATATCAATCATATTTTTTCAAATTATTCATAAATCCTCTCCAAACACTTTCAAACTCATGATACGCCAGGGCGATCCCATACATGACACATATATCATAACCAAATATTTCTTTAAAATATCCACAGTATAGATACACAATTCACCAAATCAATTTTATATTATTAAGGTAAAAAAAAAATTATTTTATAAGATAATATAATTGTTTGATAGGTATGTTAAATTATTACAATACAATTGAATCTACAAAGCATAATAATTTATGACATATTTAGTAAATTAGGTTTATTATATAATATGAAATGCAACCAACAGTAAACAAATTACAACTTCAATCAGTTGATATTATAAAAACAATAATATTCTACTTCTAATCAAACCTTATCAATATAGCACACAATTGTAAACCCCCAAATACTCGGAATTCCTAAATCTAGAAATTAGGAAACTGTAAGTTTGTACTTCACAAATATTATAAAAATGATTACGTAATAATAATTTAATCTTACATCTTAAATTTAAGCCTCAGTAGTTTCAAACACTCGAACACATTTTTGTTCAAAGGCTCAGGATTGTATGAATCTAATATGTATATGTAAATAAAAATAGATTACCTATTGTGGAAGCATCAACATCGTGTAATCATCTATATTTTATATTATAATATATTTTTAGTTTTTTTAGAAACAGGAAATGTTAAAAAAAAAAATTTCACAAGACGAAATCATACTTTTTAAGGATAAGACATGTGCCCCTTAATCTATAGTTAACATAATTGGGAGAGAATTAATTAGTATAATCTAATAATGCATTTCAAATGTATTACAAAAAAATATATTACCTACGGAAAATAAAGATCTTATATATAGCGTAATAGTATTTATCAAAAAATATCTATTAACTTTTAACATCGATATATAAGCTATACTTGAATTATACTATTTTAAATATTTAAAATTGCTTTTAAAAGGAAAAACAATTTAGTTAACTTTCATTATTGTTTATATACATTTTTTATGACTTTTGAAAGTTATCATAAATGGCGTATCATGTACATACAATTTCAACTACTTCAACTATTTGTCAATAAGTATGGTTAAATTTGGACAGTAAATGCCATCTCTGATTTGAATTCAACTATTATAACTTATCACATACATAAATACCTATACTCGTATTTAATAAGGTACTTGGTTACAATACAATAATACAATATTTAATACATTTTTATGTTAACTATCCATAAATTGTTTTACATTAGCCCAGTCAATTTTAGTGGTATAGACACAATCAGCCAGAGACACCACAACACTATTCCGTACATAACTAGTAACAGGACTTTATGCGCTATGTATAATCTGAAAATAATAATACAATAAATTAAATATAATTCAATAATAGTTAATGCATCGTTGAGACTAATCAACTTTGGGCAAATACAAATCAGCCTAATATTAAACTATTTAAATTTTCTTTTTAAATCTTAAACTATAAACCTAGTTTATTTGTCAGACATAAAATACAATCCTGCAAAATAACAATAAATGGTTATTACAATTTAGAAAAAATAATTAATAACTGCATAATATGATACGTCGGCGACGTAATACCTATACCTAATAATATACTCATACATGCCTGATTCGAATTTTGAATAACTTTGTAACTTGTTATTAAAATGTAGGTATATATTTGGTGCATAGTAAACAGTAAACTGATAATCAAGATTCACAGATCATCTATTTTCTAATAATTGTACTGTTGTTCTAATTTCATACATGTATAACTTACTTCTCCCATTTTTTCCTGGCCGCAGGCAACGTGTGTATATCATCTTTTACGAGGTAAACTCTTAAACCGAGACAGTGTGCCTGGCAAAAATAATCCCATGATAGTTGATGTATGTCGAAATTGAATAATTCTTTGTCTTGACTGTCGAGAGTATGCCATAAAGCCAATAAACGATCATTGGGGAACGTCCATTCCCTGTCGGAAAAATATGCCAGAATATCTCGCACTTTATCAATCTTCTTATAGATATTCATCAATCTATTTGAAAATATAAAAATACAATGATGTAGTTGAATTATTTTTTTAAATAAAACTATACATCATTTAAGCTAATTACCAGTAATTAGTAACCATAAAATAGTAATTCAAAAATCAGAACTAATAGTAACTATATTCAATGTCGCAATGTGTCCATTTAAGTTTCTAAAAGTTTTGAATTTTCAAAATACTTTTTTTCACATAAATGGACGTTGTTGCCAAAAAAATTTTTTTACAATTTTTTCACCTTTTTAAATAACAACATACACAATATTTTTAACTTCATATTCATAAGCGGAATATCAGGGTATTTCCATACGTAAACACAAAATGACTAACAGAATATACTTAATCAATTAATTATAAGTATTTATAGTATCACATCCATAAAAATGTAGTTCCACTACTCCGCCCATGGCTAGTCTAAAGTGTAAATACTTTTAACTAATTATATTAAACTCTTTCGAAATTTGATATTAATGCTTCGAAGTAGGTACTCCGAAAAAATATACTACTTCGGAATATGAAACTAAAAATGTGTATTGGCATACAAAAAAGTGAAAAATGATTTTAATACGAACTTGTAAAAATATAATTTGTTTTCAAAAATGTTGTTGTGCAACGACATAATATTAATTAAAAATATTATTTTAAAAGAAATTAAGACTTTTCAAAATAAGGAGTGTAGACACTTAAAACATCACTTAGTATAAATTATTTATTTAAATCATTACTAACATTGGTTTTTGTCCAGAAAAAACAGCCAACGTGTCTAGTGTATACCCAGGCACAACGTGACAAAAAAAATTTAACACTGCGTATAAAAATCGATTTTTAGTAACCCAAAACGAATAATACCAAATCGCCCGAATTGTAGGCCAGTAAACACCATAACGATGATTCATCTCTATAAACTGATTCCATTTTATTGGTTTTTGTATAGAACTTGAACATGTATATATTGGTATTTCTTTTGACTTCCTGTAAACAAAACGTAAACATATTTTTTTAATTTTGTATCTATGATAATTATTATCTTATAACTGTAAAACTGTAATCTTATAAAAGTATAAACTGTAGTTAAATAATATTATAATAGTGACATCAACTACTACCATTCAAAAATCTCCTATATAAGCTTGGTAAAAAACATAAACTATGATAATTATACTTCCAGTATCACAAAATATTGACCATTTATACAATAATATCTCCACACAATTAATATTGAATTTTTTACTCCTTTTTTAAGGTCAGTTGTTAAGATCTTACATAGTTTTAAAGTTTTAAAATTTGTTTCTGTAAATCATTGTCAATTTGTTTTTTTAACGTTTTTTGACTTTCCTGGAAAAACGGGTTTTAACACATTTGAGGTTTTTTCGTGTCAATGACTATTTTGAAATAAACGCGAGTGGTTTTGCCTGTTTGAAAATGCCATTTAAATAACCGGTGTTTAATTGTAGGCGCTTAAATTACAAAAAGCCATGGTGTGTGGTATAGGTGCTTCATATGTAACCAACTTTAAGCTTTAAGTGTATGCAAGTTATTATTTTCCAAAATGCGTTTCATTGAGTACCGTAGCTTTTCTTAATTTTTAACGAAAGCCATTAGCAAAATATTATAGACACATACTAAATGTTACATTTTCATCTGTATGGTATAAAAAAAATTATCTTTATAGCATATTTCTATTAAACTTTTGAACAGTGTCTTTTAAGCTATTTTAGTATTATAGTTCATGATGTATTATATAGTATCACTATAAACTAACTAAAAAAAAAGTTATTATTGTAAAGTGTAGGCATGACGCTCAGAAAAGTGCTTGTTACAACAACAGGTGTTTTTTTTTTTATTGTTGTTGTTGTATCAATAAATACGTAGTACAATTCGTTATGCATTAAAAATGTAAGCTTATTTACACATTTCTCATAAGTCATAAGTCGTAATAAACATAAAACTGAACCATTTATTTTAATTTGTATTCAATTAATAGATAATTTATTTATACAGTTACAATGGTTAGTCGTATATTCGTAAGAGATAATTTAGTATATTGTTTTAAAAAACTTGCGTTACTCCATAGTTATAATTTCTTAATTACAAGTTATAGCTAGGTACATCACATAAATTACGTTTGCCCAATCTAAAGTTGCCATGAAATAAAACAAGTCATTACTCATTACTCATTAGCATAATATAATATAACCCATTGTATTACTAATATACCTCATGAACTTTTTGACATTGAACTGCATCTTCAGTGAAAAAAATATCCATGTTTAATCTATTTTCCTTTCTCATCATCGTGGTTTCAAATGAAAGAACAAAGCATACCCTTTTCCTTAAATCGTAATTTCAGGCTAACATATTATACTATGACCATTGTTCTTGCCGTTTAAGATGCGCATAAGAATTGTATAAATGATTACTGAATGTCTTATTTATTATGGACAGATCTGCTGTACATATTCTCTTTTCAATTTTTTTGCACATATTATAAAAACTCAAAAAATAAAACAAAAACCATGAGTCACAATTTCCGGTAAAAATTGACATCAATTTTAATCAACGCCGTATGCTAAACAGGGTGATTCGCCATTTACCAAGCTGCGCATCTTCTTTTTTCTTCAATAATGCAAATCATTCAAAATACTCATTCCAATTTTTAACTAGGGACATCAATATTTGAAGAAAAAAAATATCCACTAATTAATTTGTATTAAAAAGGATGAAAGATTCTCATTTAAAAACAGAAGTTTGTATCTCCACTGAAGTGTGCCTCTTTAAGTGGTACATCAAATCTCAATCATTTGAAAATATAATCTTTAATTAAATATATTTAAAAATACCAAAAACCATAATAATTTGAATAAATCCATTTTTAAAGGAAAAAGTGGGGGGGGGGGTGAGCATGCTCGGTGCATCAACCTATATGTAATAGGTATAATATGCATCGATTACTACCAAGTTTGTACAGTGTAACGGATAGATAATCTGGTCAGCCAACCTATTCAGAAAGGTTGAAAGTACAATAGTAAATGGTTCCTCATAAGTTGTTATTATGTAGCTATGTTCGAAAATATTAACAATAGGTACCTACATAGGAATGATTTATTTTTAAGCATTTTAAGCCAAAATCAAAACAATTTGCTTATAATGTTATATAGTAAGTAATAACAATTTTTTATCTAACAATTTCAATTATTCGCGTATGAATATCAAACTTTCCAACATTACGTTTATTATTATTTTTCATAAACAACGAAATATTTAAACTAATTTTAAGATATTTATACCACAAATACCTAATCTATATAGGTGTATATACATCGTTTTACGGTAAGACTGTAAAATTATCTTGTAATTTAACAATGTCGATACATGATATAAATATATAATATTTTAAAATTGATATACAATGTATGTCTTTTGCAAAAATATAATTCAATCACCGTATTATCAATAGAAAAATTAATTTCTACTTAATTCAATTAAAAAATGTATTTAGAAATAGACATTGACACACCGTCTCCGCTTAAAATCGTTTTTCGCAAGCAATGATTTATAGTTAAACTCAAATTTAACACTTCCATTACACTAACGAGGTTCACTAAAAATCTACTATACTTATTGGGCAGAACGAATTTATTTGCTTTTTATTAGTTAATCTTTCCGCTTATGATATTATATATTAATAATATATATTATATATTATATATAATATATTATATATATTATATTATATTATATTATAATATTATATTATATTATATTATATTATATTATATTATATTATATTATATTATATTATATTATATTATATTATATTATAATATATTATATATTATATTATAATATATTATATTATTATATTATATTATAATATTATATTATATTATAATATATATTATATTATATTATATTATATATAATATATTAATATTATATATTACGTAATTACGTAATGCAGAGTACCTAATATACATTTTTTATCACAATAAACTTTCTCTCTTATAATTGATTGTGTCCGTACAAATGTATTATCTAAACATAATATACGTTATAAATTAATCGTTGTAATAATTACTTTGGGTGAAAACTCTAAACAAAAACATAATCTATATACCTATATATTATGCACATTTATATGCATTACACATATCTAATATCCAGATTACTTGATTTATTTAAATAATTAATTGTTTTTTTTAAACTGTAGAATCCGTTAGGTTAAGCTAACGGTGACACGGTGTATAGACTTGTTAAACGACAAATAAAAACAATTTCAACCATAGGTATTTTAAAAACACTTACCCATTTGTCGCCGTTTCTTTAGTGGCGCATATAAGAGCGTTTACAACAATGTCAACTGGAATTATGTCGGGCACAATATTAGAATCGAGATAGTATGTATGAAGTACTCCGGTGCCAGCCCCAACTACAATTCCTGTTGGACCATATACATTATCTATCCAACCTCTAACTGGTTCCCGGTAAGTACCAACCACTAAACAAATAATGAAATAATCATTTAATAAACTTAAATCTGTAACATAAAAGCTTAATATGATTATAAATTATAATTCTATAATACGTACCCACAGTGGGTCGGAAAACTAATATTGGAAGACCTTGTGCTTCTCTTCGAATAGCATCTTCCGCCAATGATTTAGTAAAAGAATAAGTATTTGGTAAATCGCCAAGGATTCTTAAAAGTTAATAAATATTGTTGTTACAATAAAATTATATTTATATTATTATTTTATTATTTTAGGTTATTGTGCCTAGAAAATAAATGTATAATATGATATTCTTACTTCCTGGTCATACAGTGTAGTATTTTATCGTCGGTAGAAGAAACTAATTTCAATATATCTTTATAATCAGCAGTAGGATCGTAAAATTTTTCGTCCACATGCAATCGGTTGCAATTTGAAAATGCAGTGGAAATATGTGCTACGACCTAATTGATTAAAAAACCATGTTATTATTCATTGTTATTACAGTATTTAGACACATTTATTTAAAAGTAGCTATATAAAACCTGTTTGGAAACCAAATCGTACCTAGTACTTATTTGTGTTAATTTACTATAGGTATACAAGTACCTTTTTCATTACACAATACCGTTCATTAAGAAATATTTCTTTTCTTTTTTATAAGAGCAATAATATCAATCACAAGTACATCATTATTATAATAATAATAGTTCTTACTACAGTGGTTCTCAACGTTCATTACATTTTTTATAAAACTTAATAATGTATAATTGAATAAATACCTATGTAATTTAAAGTTAAAATTTGTTAAAACTAAGTTTCTTGAAATTATTAAAGTTATTTTTTTTTTCATAAAAATGTTGTAACTAATCAGCCAAATCCACATACCATCCATGGTTTTGATAACTCTGATTTGTACAAACATAGACGTAATATGTGGTAAATTCTCGAGAGGGGCAATCAGGGGTAGTTTCTACTCAACAAGTAAAATGTAAGTTTTTATGAAAGTTAAATGTCGTATTTCGAAATACACAAAAATTAAAAAAAATAATTCAACCAGTTATGTAAATTTATTAAAATTTGATAGTTTGGACTCTTTGTAGTATAAATTATTAAACTATAGGTACTTGACCTATAAATGATAAAATACCAATAGGAATTAATTATGATACATACATATCTTATTTTAATGTTACCTTTAAATTAGTTATATTCTTGGCCAAACTTATTAATTCTCTTGTTCCAGAAACATTTATGGTCATAGCTACACGGATATGTTCATCGAAACGCACAGTAGCTGCTCCATGGAAAATTATGTTCACTTCTTTAATCAGTGTATTTCGACTGCTTGCGCTCAATCCTAGACCCGGCAAACTGCAGTCACCGGCTACTCCAGAAACTTTATGATAATACTTTGGAACTTCGTGTTTTAATCTTTTGAACAGCTATATTATAACGTACAAATTATTGATATAATTATTATTAAAAAATAATTACAGCTACACTTAAAAAATATTTATTTTAACAAAATAATGAACGTTAAAAATGTTGACTAAATGTTGAGAGATTTTATATAATAAATATACATACGACTACCTTTTATTGGTTTAACTTTTTTTTCTCTTACCTAGGGAGATTAATTTAGAGGTTAAAACTAAACAAACAAAAAAGATCTGAACAATTCGCTTTTTTTACCCCAGTCCATTTTTAATATCTTATAAATTAGTTCGTATATTTTCCAAACTCTATTGAGTAACACTATATTTTAGTAATCATCGTACGATCACAAAATATCAAAATAAAATTTTTTTATTTGTATAACGAACAACAAATTTAATTTTATAATTTTTTATGCAACAATTAATATACTCCGATATAGAAAAAATAGTTTTATAATTTCTAATGTAATTATAAATACTTGGTTTCTAAGTAAGTATAGCCAATAAAATTAAATAAAAAATATTGTTATTTGAACAGAAAAAAAATTACCCCGCGCTCGCAGCTATATGATACCACGAGCGTTACTAAAGGTTAATTTATACAATAGGTCATTATATTTTTACTTATAAAATAAATTACAAAACAAGTTAAAAGTAGGTTAATGAAAAAAAAATGTTATAGCAATAAATATTTATATTTACCCTGTCTTCAAATATATCTTCCAATCGTTCATCGACGATTTTGCCTTTCTTAGACCGGATCAGCAAATAAATATGTTTGATGTGAGGACATGTTCTGAGCAGTTTTTCCACTAAAACCTTGCCCATAAAACCTGTACCACCGGTTAAAAATATTACTCCATCCCGGAAAAACTCTTGTACTGGACTTCCGATCTCAGACTCATCAACTTCACGAGGTTCACTAAAGCTCCTCTCGCCCAAAAGCTCCAGGGGATCCAAGTAGTATTTAGAATTTATTATATCTTTGATAGGCACCGACGGTGCACTGTCTTGCTTTTTTTCGATGTACTTACGATGTAAATCAAGAGCCATATTGTGGAATTGTGAGTTTATAACTGTAAAAATAATAGTATGAAAACTATTTAATTATTAATATTAAAGCCTCAAAGTGGAGAAAAATAAATTTGACTTTTGTGTTTTTCCTCGGATTGTTCCCCTCAAACACAACTCAAAAACGATTCAACGGGCAAGAATTAAATTCTATTTATTAAAGTTTTCGAGTTATTAAGACACCACTGTTAATTGAATTAACTATTATGTGCTATATATAATTGTAGATTAAACAATGCATGTCAATATGTCATATTATTATTATTACATCCTTGTCCGAATTATTGTAATGAATAATGACTACTGACCCTATTATAAATGGTAATTGGAACAATTTCAGTAATAAAAGATTATTATTATTATTATTATTATTATTATTATTATTATTATTATCATTATTATTATTATTATTATTATTATACCTTTATGTATTATGTATACTGTACAGTATTTGAAAAATAACATGACATTTTTACATTATTTACAAACCATATAATTTACAACTATCAACACAACTATTTCGAATATCAAAATAAAATCATTTTCACTATATTAATGAACAGTTAAAAAAAGGATAAATTGCTTAATGATTTTTTAACTATGCAGTATATCATTCAATATTGGAAATTAATATGCAACCACCAAACTGTATTTTTCCAAGGTTTTTTTTAAGTAACATTTGAAATCAAAAAGTTTATAAATTATATTATACTTTTTGATTTCAGATATGATCTTTGTGTACTCGTAGTCATACCAACTTAATTGAATTATAAATATTAAATGCAATTTTCCAGTGTAAAATCTACAAACAGATCAAATAAAAGTATTAAACAGTTATTTTACTTACGTATGTAATATGTATCTGTCATTAATTAAATGCATTGACATGAAATGCACGGAAGACGCAGTATATTACGTAAAATATGAACATTTGAAACGAGTCTTCAGCGTATAAGATTTTCCCGGTATTATTTCAATATTTTTATTTGCAGTTAAATAAATTATGAAATCTTTACATGATATAAATCGTAAATTAATATGTTTGCAATGCAACAATTTTGAATTTCCTGCAATAATGCTGCAGGTAGCACTCTTATGGTAATTAGTAATAACTGAGAAGTCGAAATAAGATTTATATATTCTATTTTGTTATATAATGTTTTTGTCCGCGAATAACGTTGTATGTTGTGGCAAACGCTGTGGTTATTATATTTTTGCATATTTTGTATAAAATGCATATTATTGCATATTATTGCATATTATTTATAATGGGTAATATGTAAAATGCATGTCATGTACATTTTACTGTACATTTTACTATTTTAGTAATGGCGATATGATAAGAAAAGTAAATAGAATATTATATTTCCAAAAAATACCCAAGTATTTAATTTACTATATTATATTTTAGATACCTATAAGTAGTAATTTAATTTATATTTTATCTTAATCCGCAGCAGTAGATTAGATTTAATATTTAAGATTATTCTACAACTACACAACCTACAGTAAAATTCTTAGTAGGTTTGACGTATAACCGTGTATATTGTGAGTGCGTTAAGCGTTTATGTGAAAACACTTTTAACTCCTCGTTGTTGTTTATTTATAATACTTTGAATAGTTTAAACTTTTAGAATAATATTTTGTAGGTTTTAGAACTTTTAATCATTTTGTTTTATATTTTAAGTGGAATATTTTTTCTCATTTTTCGTTCAATTTTTACAAACCATATTTTACCATTTTTACAGAGATACCAAGTAGCAATCATATTATGGAAGCGAAGTATAAAAATATGTATAAATAATAAAAGAATTGGCTTCCCAGGTAACAGGCAGCATTGATAAATGATAATATCAGTAAGATATTAATTGTTTTAAGTACTATCAATTTCTAAACGAAATTTGACTTTCTTTTGAGTTACATGGGTAATAAACTATGACAGTGGCCTAGGCATATATTCAATTATATTTTAATGGAACACGAATGACGCTTAATTTATAATAGCAATAAGCAAATAACATTAGAGTAATTATTGGTATACATACAATAATAGCGAACAACATGTTGTTGTTGGTAGGTATATTCAATTAACAATAGAAAGTCAGACTTACAATAATTAGTATACAACTGTAACTGTCGAAAAACGCAACTACTTTGAACATCGTAAAATGTGACTTAAGAAGCCGAACAAGATCGGTCTGGCCGTCTCTATTAGGAATTTATATCACATAATCGCTCTCGTTCCCGCAATACCTATGTTTCCATAGGGCCTATTTAGTTCATGATAACACAGTAAAACCAATACATTCTTTGCTTCGCTCATAACCTTAAGTGTGAAATTCTATGACTAATATATTTATAACGTAACTACGTGACTATTGCTCAATGTATTTATTTAGATTAGTTAATAACCAAAAGTCTAATCATATTATGCGTTATCTGTGTGGTGAGGGGGGAGGGACAGTTGCCCCGCAGATATTTTATAGCAGAGAATGTGACAAAGATTTGTTTTTCCCAGATTTTAAGCTCTAATTCATTGTTAATTACAACACATAGCAGATCTTTATTTTTATATTCACTTATATAGTGTTAATATGTATAGTATTGGTATTGGCAAAATAGTTGAGGTATAGAAGAGCATCATCTCCTCTGACCCCCCCCCCCCTCCTAAAAAATGTACTCCAAGTTACTCCATTAGTCTAATTGTAGCAGTCAGCTGGTTTATCTCTGCTTACTAATTATTTAATATTAAAGTGGCCGGGGAAGTAGCCTGCAGTATAGTTTAGGGTTTAATTAAATCTTTACTCTCCAAACCTCAAAATTATTATAAAACCTTGTATATTTTTTATTTCCAAGCTTTTGGGAATTAAAACAAAACATTTTTCGACATAAATAAATAAAAAAATTTTACTAGTAGAAAATTTCAAACATCTATAAACAGCTTGAAAAGTTTGAAAATCAAATATCTAAATATAAAATGATTTCAAATCTACGGTTATTTTTGAATTATAACAAAAACCAAAATTAATTTTGTTGAAAAGTGCAGATTTAATTTAATTTAATTTTAAATTTTTCTTCGATTATTTTGAAAAGTGTGTACTGAAAATTGTCTACTTTTGACCAAAGTACCAACTAGTTCTAATTTACAACAAAAAACCACCATTAGAGTTAAGGCCAGGGAAATTGTATATCTTCTAAAGTTAATAACAGGCAAAAAAAAGCGCTTCTTTTATATATACCTAAAATGTAATACAAGGTTACATAGAGTGTTCATTACAAAAATAATGAAAAAGTTCATTCATTTCCCAGAATTTCCTACAAGCGTCTGAAGTGCTTACACAATTTGATATTCACACGTAAAAAACGAAAATAATGATTTCTCATCAAATAAAATTAGTTTTTTTGTTGTAATTTTAATAACATAAAAAGTCAAAATTTAAAACCTTTCACTATTACTTAAATCATGATTTTTGGATTTTTACACACAATGAAAAACTTAAAATATTTAAACAAATTTTAAGCTACGAGAACATTTAAACATTTTTATGTTTTTTATTTTTGTTTTATTTTGAGGTGTTAAGTAATAACAACTTATAGACTGGGTCATAAAGTTTGAAAATTGAATATGAGATCCAACATGAGTTTTTGTTATTCCAATTTATAATATTAAAAACACAGGCCGATTTTGCCTATGTATTTAAATTCTCCGCAATCGCTGACGATTTGAAGATATATTTGTTTTCATTTTGAATCTAGAATTTATACAATCTATACATAAAAAAATTACAATAGGCATAATGGACGTTTCTTAAATTAAGCTAGATACAGTAGCTAAACCTAACCTTGAAGGAAGAACCAACCAGTGAAGGCACTTCGGCTTAAATTTACAATTATTTGGGAATTTAATAATATTCATGTCTAATTTATACGTTAACGAGGCAATTTTTTGTCTTTTGTGAGGGTGTCCGGGAATGGAGATAGATAATAACTTTTTAATGTGGGGGTTTTTGTGATTCCTAAATTTGGAGTAATATAGCTTGGCTGTTTTGGTGACTAGGAATGCGAAAAACTGTGTGAAGAGTGTGATTTGAGATGTTGAGGATATATAAATTACATTTAAGCAAATGCAATATTTATTGTCAAAAATTAAGTCAACTTATCTTATTATTACTAATAGGAAAATAAATTACTTATATCAGTAATTCAGTTCCCTAATTTGTATTGAAATAACTGAGATTTAACTTAAATATTTCATTAAAATATTAAATAACTACTTTAAAAAAAAAGAGATTAATTTGGTCGCCGTTTTGTTTAATTTTTTTATCCCTACTTATTAGTACCTACCTATTCATATAGAAAATATTCAAGCAACAAACTTGCTTTCAACGACAAAATAACGTACCTTCATTTGGCTTGCTACTTAACCCATCTGTAGCTGATGTATAAATTATAAAAGAAAAATACCGACATCTCCAATGTACACAATTTACTCCCAAAACAATTAAGAAAATATTACGCCGGGAAATTTTTCCACCCTAGATCCGACCCTACATTTAGGGCTGTGGAATAGTTGCGTCTAAGACGAAATTTGTATTCTATGGTCAGTATACCAATATTGCACTGCTTAATTTTACCGTCAATATATCGATTTTTCAAAAAACACAAAAATTGTTATTGGTTTGGGACCAATATTCTATAATTATATTTAGACTTTTAATTGTAATTATATGTTTATGTATATTAGATTATAAATGTATTATTGATACATGTTAATAAAAACAACGTTATGAGCCATTTGGCCAGCTCCCAGTTTTAGGTCTAGTGTAATAAAGTTGGTTTAAAACTTAGGTTAAAGGTGTTGATACGCATTGAATACCAAGCACTTAGTAAATAAACAAAATACATACCTGAAACAATTTTTGTATTAGTAAAAATTATGTATTTTATCTTATATTAATTTAACAAATGCAACTAGTGTTCAATTAAAATAAATATTACACTATAAGAAACATGATTTCTGTTACTTTACTAACATTTAATGAAAATGATTTAATATTTACTGCATTTATTGAAAATTATGAGTGAATATTATGTAAGCGTATGAACGAAACTTCTTTAACGAATAACCGTAACGGAATGATCGGGAGTTCGAATATCAAATGAGAAGTATTCTACGCAGAATGGTATTGCAAAATTAATAAATTCATAGGCGTGCGTATTTCAGTGGGGATTTCAGGATCATTTCCCCCCTCTCTCAATGAATCCAAAACTTTCATAATTAGTTTCCATCGTGTTTAATTACTTAAATTTTAGTTTTTTATAAGTTGAAAGATATTTTAATAATTCATATCATTCGATAAACTGTTCGATATTTTACTATATTGTTATAAATCTGACGGAAATAAGTTTAAACAAAAATGGATTTATCAAGTTAATAGTTATTTACAGTTTTCCGCCTATTTTCTCAAAAACTACTGAAATAATTTCAAAATATCACACATTCAATTATTTAAAATACTATCTGCCATCTATGTTAATTTTGAATTTATTTTATAAGATAACTACCATAGGTGATTTTAAATATTTTAAAACTAAAATGATTACAGACAAAAAAACCACCCACACACATTTATATAAAATTAGTATTTTTTCTGTTGTTTTAGAATCTAAAAATATTAATATGTATAATAAGTGATGTTATGAACTTGAGTTGTATGTTTTCATGTGTTCATTTAGTAAAAACGTTATTTCCGCATAATGAAACCATGTCGTCTGTACGCATTCATACACAACAAATACATTCAAATTAAGGAATCGCCATAACCCTCTGGTCACCATATTATTATACCCACGTGGTTCAGCACATCAAAACATTACGTTTTTATTTCTGTATCGTGGATAATCTTTTTTATCTACTTCGTGAAATGCATGTTCAATGTTCATTTTATAATTTATACTGTACCTACCTACTACTTATAAAATAATAGAAATATGTACATAATAAGTAGATAGGTACATATTTAGGAGAACTTTTCAAGGAATATCAAGACATTTTCCAAAGTGATAATATTTGTTTTTACCTAAATAAACACACTCATGAACTATATTATAATAATCTAATTTTATTCACCGTATGATGCTCATGGATAATGATTAATGAGCATCTAAGCTTCTCTTAAATGATGGTTAACACTTTTTTTATTTGTTTTAATACCAGCATCTATTGTATTATTGATTCGTACTATTGTTTTTTTTTAATTGTTCACGTATGTATTGTTATCATAAAATTGTATGACATAATAAATACTGTTCTGTTAGGCACCAAACCAATTAATATTAATAATATTGTAAATATCTAGGCTATTTGTGTTTCACAAAACTAATTAATATCAATAATATATAAATATGTGTATATATTTTGATAATCTAAAGTCTAGACATAATTTTAATTATTTTATATTTATAAATTATTTAAATATATTGCTTTTTTCACAGATACTAGAATGTGTATTAATGTGGTCGCGACTGTTACACACAATTTTAAATACATATATGGCACTATAATTACGTATGGGTTTCTTATTATTATTATTTACAATAAGTCGTTATAGTTTCGTAACCAAATTTCGCTCCACTCAAAAAATAATGAATCAAATACTTGCATCGTTGCATCATTTAATTCATATACATACGATACATTTATAAATGCGCGTATACACTGAGGTCCAACTTACTTCTCGAAGTTGCGTGTATAAGTATATAAAAGAAATTCAACAATACAATAATATTATTGTCATGGTCACCATTCTACCTTACGTATTTAGGCATTACGTGCTTTGCACCATTACCCACTGCACCGGCGGTATACATATAGTTATTGCTTATATTAGTCCAATTTTAAAAATTGTATTTTTGATAGTCATGTTATTTCGGATGACAACAAGTCATTATAAGCGTGATGGTGCAATCCTTGAAAGATTTATTTTCAGCCGTAGAAGAAAATATTAACTGCCCCACGCCTAACATTATAAAAAAACAAACAATCGAGTAGACCAAACTTAGATTTTACATGTGAAATCGTGTGTCTACTCAAGTACCACAATAGTCTCTGCTACAACTGGTTTCAATTTTTTCCCGAGATTAAACAGGGCACATTCACCGTCAGCCGTTTATTCAATGAATATTTTTCATCGTTTATCTTGTGATTTTTGCTTTTGTAAAAATATAAGAATGATTTATATCAATAATTTTAGCTTTTCATTGATGTTTACAAGAAGGTGCACATATTTCTACATATACATGACTTGTAAATACATAATCCTTTTTTTCTTAAAAATCGTGTGACTTTGCATTTCGTATGTTAACGATTCATCTGAAAGTCTGTTTTACATTTTCCCTGAGAAAAGGCCTGTTGGTAAATTGTCTATAATTAATTGTTTTCTTTAAATGTGCATTAGCAATTTGACGACACACACCATTCGACCAGATTATCTAGATCATAGGTGAATCGTTGACGTCCTCCCCATAGGTTACTTGATCAACAATTATTATTGTTTGGTAAGAGAAATAATTATATAACAATAATAATTACTATCAATAATATTCTACACGTCAAAACAACAGTGCTTATTATAATGATTTTTTTTTCTTGATCCAACATAATAGGTATATCATATGTATTTAGGAAATATGTTTTTTTTAATTAATTATAAGACGGATAAGTGTTTTGCCCATTGGCTTTCTCGAAGATAAATTACAATAACTACTAATATTGTTCCATAACGCCTCTCTATATTAAATTGATTTTCAATATCTAGCTCAACACTTTTGGATTCTGAGTGTATAAGATGTGTGTTTTTTATGTCTTTCATTACCTTTCGAAGCATTAAAAATAATTCGATTTTCAGTTTCAGCATCTTTTTTGGTAGGATAGTGTATATAGCTGGTACGTTGTGGAAGTATGGGGTCGTCGAAAGTTAACATTTAATAGTAATTTTCAAAAGCATTATGAAAAACCCAAAAAAAAAAAGATAAAACGGTAAAAATCTTTACGCAAAACCAATTTCTGACAAATCGATTCTTGATCAATAACTCAAAAATATATATCGTTTATTATATCGTTCAGTTCCAATTTAAGACATCAATATTACAGTGACCCACTCGACACCTACCATAGATACGGCAGAGTGGTACCCACGTGCTCACCTTTTTTTTATTACATGTATTTTAATTCACAAAATATGGCGTAAGCACATATACTAATTTAATATTAAAAATTAATTACGCATACAATTTTCTAGTTTGATGAATATAAAAATATTTCCGTATTTCACTTACTAGGTAATACACCATCATTTAAATATTTAAATAGGTAAATCATACACTACCAATTCATAATTTTGTTTTCACAATCTTTATGTTGTTTAGCTTTTACGATCCGTTCATTTCAAAATGCTGTTAACGAACAGCAAGGTTTGCTACCTTATGTTTTTAATATCTCAAGTACCCAGGGTGTACTCTCCACCTGAGTCCATCTTTAAAACACTGAGATCTATACATTAAATCAGTGGTTCCCAATAGGTGGTTCTTGACCGGAACTTGACTGGACGACTTAGGCGAAGACTCTCGTTCATAGCGTCGTAGGGAAAGAATTGTTTCCTCCTTTACATGTTTAAACCAAATTGAAACGTATGCGTGCGTAGAAAGCAAAGAGTTCTAGTACCTAAACATTTACCAAAAGAGGATCAGCTCAGTTTAAGTCTTAGCTTGGGGTCCGTAGTTTAATGCTAATTGGGAACTGTTGCTTTAAACAAACAATTCACGATTTTAAGATACTAGATAGGTACCTATTAGGGTTTACCTAATAGTTAGATTTAGTTAGTTACATTTTGTTTGTTAACAATAACTTAGTTTTTTCTGAGTTCCTATCAAACTATCAAACATTAGATGCAACTTACTATGAAAGTATATTATTTTACTTTAATGAAATGGTTTATGGAAATACGATGAATGCGTCGATGATCCCATAGTTATGTACCTCTAAAAAGTCTAAACCACTATTGAGAGTGGAGGCTATAATACTATATAATATAATACAATAATAGACTATTTTTTTTTTTTAAATTATTTTGTGTTAATCTAAACTAATTTAATGAAAGCTCATGGTTATTTCTGGGCCCGACAGTCTAGTTCAATTAATTATTAAACAATACAATTTATTGTATTAGGTATTACCTATATATAATATCAGATTGTTCACATAATTATGTTCTGTGTAAACGAAATTATAGCTAAGAGTTAGGTATATAGCATAATGTAGGTTAGGTATGAGTTTATCAGTACCTAAAACTATCTTATGTTTTAATATTTTGTTTTTAGGTTAAAAAAACCTAATCATGACATTGGTGGGCACACCGTCCTTGAGTAAAAAATAAAAATTGTAATTAACGTAAATATCCAATGACCTTAAAAATATTTAGCTGCATTCAAGAATTATTCATAGGTAGATATTTGAGATTGTCTAACCTCAGTTATTCTTTTTTCTTTGAAAATTGCCAAAGTTTGCAGTATTAGTTTCCAAATCTAAGCCTGAAAAATAATGTAATCTCTGTGATCATTATTACAATATTTAGTGAGCTAATTATTAAATAAAGCAAACTATCATTATAATATAAACATAATATATTTATCTTATATGTTAATTAGGTGTATATAATCTTATGGTGTATCCACTATTGATTATAGTATAGCGTAGTATGGACGAATGGTTAACATAATACAAGTTAGTAAGTGTGCCAACTGTTAACAATCTGAAAAATAACAAATGCAATGCAGATTAATATAAAGACACTGGAATACACAAAGATTTGAAGTGGATAAAATATGTCTGGCGCTCTCGCAACCGTGACCATCATCAATCGAAATATAGTAGGTACACGTCATGATATAGAAATAGAAAAAATATTATTAATACAATCAAGTATTTTACCTATACATAATTACAATGAATAAAAGTCAACGATTAAAAACAACCGTCATTAAATTACAAAATATTATAATAATAATAGTTATTATCAAGCCTGGGTATAAACGAGTTAAAAAGTAAAAATTTAATTAATTTAAACTTTTTAACTTAACATTTTTTAAATTTAATTTTTAA